TCCATCGCATTTTGTTAACCATTTCAGGGTAGTCTTTTTTGTCTTAGGTTCTTTCCAGTGCTCTGGAGCATAAAGCTTTATGAGTCACCTGCATTGCATTAACTTTGTAGTAGCGATGCAGTTCACTGTGCTTTAGGATTTCAGTAGCTACTTATTTATTCATAAGATGAGTCTAGCTACGTCAGTAAGGAAACAAACAAGATAACGGCACGCCCAGAATTCAGCTTGGAGGTCATGTTCGTTAGTTCCTGGTAGTAAGTACCATTTGGGTTTAACTGTTAACAATGCAGTAGTTGAATGCGCACTTATGGGAACATAGGAAGCAACTGTTTTGTGAACCTGCATGGATAGAGGTTTGACTGAAAATTGAAACGGCTTGGGTAGAAGGAAGAAAGCAGTCTTACTGAGTAGGCAATGGAAAGGTATTTCCAGATTCTGCAGACACATAGTTTGCCTCACCCATGTAGGAGTGTTCTGCTGTTTTTAAAGGAGCAGTCCAAACTGCTGTGTAAAGGAATACTTAAGCAAGATTCCTTCTTTTGTCAGTATCTGTATATGCCAGGCATCGAAGCAACCCTGCTTCAGAAAAGGGGGAAATTCTCAGTTCCATTCTGATAAGTTGAAGTAGGCAGCTCTTTCTGAACAGGAGAAAAAAATGAACACTTCGATTACATTCAGATACTTGACTGTGGTAAGAGAAGACCTTAGGATTTGGAAATGTAAGAGATCCTTAAGCAGAGTAGAAAATGTAAACCTATTAGCTCACAAAATGAAAGCACGAAATGAAGGTTGAATGAAAGTTTACTATTTAGTGCCTGCTCCAAACCAAGCAATTTTTCATAAGGTTGTTAATATCTAAGAGTTACAATTACGATATTATCTGTTTTATCTGTTGTGTTTTAAATAATTGTATGATTTTAAGTTGTATTTATGTTTGTATGGAAGCCGCCCTGAGCCTGCTTTGTGCAGGAGGGTATAAATTTGATAGATAAATAAATAAAATTATTTCTTCTGTATCTTCAACTATGAGTACTGCATGCTTAAATAGTGTACATGGGTTGAGATGTTGTGTAAAAATATAGAAACGAGGAACTTTCCATGGGGGTATAATTGTTGCTTTTCATTTTAGAAAACATGATAGCAATTAGGGGAGAGGGAGCTGCTGAGCATATATATATATGAAGAATCCTGAAGCTCTCTTTTGTAGGAAGCCAAAGTAATTTGGATAATCTTTAATTCAACTTTTTAAAACCCTTTTCTCTACACTGAAATAATATACACATGATTGGTTTTCTTGTTATAATTAAAGGATGTTAAATTGCTTCTCCTTAAAAACTGAACTTGGGTTACATTCCTAGTCATGAAATTTACTGATGCAGATCAATAATTTGTTTCACCCATTCTGCAACATTTTGATTAAATACAAGTTCCCCCTTCACCATAAGAATGTTTTATGCAGCCAGTTATTACCAACTTTATTACTTCCCACTGTACATTAAAATATTTGGCATAAAATTATCTCAAATCATATTGTCCTTTACAATGTGGATCTCATGACTGCTTTTAGCAATCTCATGAGTTGTAGCATTATTGATACTTGCTTTTGATAAGGGAAACAGTGGCTGAGATTGTCACTGGCATATGGTGAGTCTTTCGCTGAGGTAGGGTATTTATAAACTAGATTTTACAATCTGCAAAATAGACAGTATCAGGCAGCAGTATCTGGAAATGTTTTTAATTTAAGATGCACACGGGACACGTCCCCCGCAGATATTTGATTTCTGTTTCTCTTAAGTATAGTTAGTGTTAAATGCCATCCTTATATGAAGAACTTGTGTACAGCTCATCGGAACTCCATAAAAAAGGGTATTGACCAACTTTGCTAATGCCATTTGTTTCATATGCAATAGAGTTGGTACCATCACGTGAAATGAAGAAATCAGATGCCAAATGCATGGGTAAAACTAGGTTTTATTAATAACTGCTCTCCATCAAATGTGAACTGCTTGCAGTTGGCAACCAGAATGGCAATCTGCTAACAGTAAACAGCCTACCACAGCTACCAGCATTTTGGACAAACCCAGGCCTGGCTCCAAACTTATTCATTGTAGTCTGCATTTGGAAGAGTGCCAAGAGGTGCTAAGTCTTCTCTCCCTCCCTCCAAATGCTCCAGCAGCTAAGAGCATCATGGCTAATACTTGACAACAACCCACTAGGGTTGCCAACTGCCAGGTGGCACCTGGAGATCTTTTGTTATTACAGTTGATCTCCAGAAGACCAAAATCATATCCCCTGGGGAAAATGGCTGCTTTGGAGGGTGGATTTTATGACTTTATACCGTGCTGAGGTTCCTCCCCTCCCCAAAGCCCACCCTCCTCAGGCTCCACCCTCCTGTCAGCTATGCTGCCATGGGGGTTGGGATGTTCTTTCAGTGTCTGTGTAAATGGCCTTCGCATTCCTTTCTCTCTGCTTTCTCTCCGCTTAGCGCTGAAATGCTTATCTCTAAAGAAGGAGCTGCGGTGGCTCAAGTGGTTAAGACGCTGAACTGCAGGTTGTGGAAGGTCAGTAGTTCAGCAGTTCGAGACCCGGGTGCCGCATGATGGAGTGAGCTCCCATCTCTAGTTCCAGCTCCTGCCAACCTAGCAGTTCGAAAGCAAGAAATTGCAAGTAGATAAATAGGTACCACTTCGGTGGGAAGGTAACAGCGTTCCGTGCGCCTTGGTGTTTAGTCATGCCGGCCACATGACCACGGAAAGGTCTTCGGACAGCACTGGCTCTTCGGCTTTGAAACGGAGATGATCACCACAACCCTAGAGTCGGATTCGACTGGCTTTCGAGCAAGGGAACCTTTACCTTTACTAAAGAAGTACAGGTGGCTAGCCGTGGGAGGAGAAATATTCCCAGCTTCGCATAGTAACGCTTGCTGGTTCTAGCCCGTGCGCGGGAGGGTGCCTAATTTTCCAGCGCAGTGGGGGGGGTGCATACGAATGCCCTATATTTCATTAGGTTCAAGAGGCAACTGCTATTCTTAACAGTGACTATGTTAATGCATCTATGGCTCTTCAATAAAAGTATCACCTTTCTAAAGAAGTGTGTACTCCGTTGTGGGCTATGGGTTCTGACATTCTGTTAAGAATAGTTAAGAATCCAGGGCTGGCAACCCTACAACCCACCCTGCCTTTCAAGCCAGTGATGGGTTGTTTTACAAATGGATGTCTCAGAGTGCTGACAGTTAGCCCTGCCTATATTGTAGCAACCTGTACTATTCCTGCCTACGTATCACAAGCTCAGGCCTAATTAAATTAAAATCCTGATCTCTCAAACAATGTGGAGCAGGCACAACAAGGCCCCTTTCTGTGGCAAGTTGAAGGGGACCCTAAAATTTCCTGATAGGCTCCTAAAAGGTGATCAACTAATTTTGAATTATTTCAACATTTATTTAGGAACCAATTGGGAAATTTGGGGGTTGCCAGCTTTGCAACAAAAGGCTGGGAGAAGGGGGTCGGCCTAAATGGCTGCTTCCAACAACCCTTGCCTTTGACAAGACTGCACAAGGAAGAATGGTCCAGCTGGACACCAACAGGGTTCTTGTGACTCATTCAGAATAGGACCCTTACTTGATAAATTGGGAACTTGATTATGTGATCCACTTTTAGGGTTGCCAAATCTTGAAAATGGACCGGCGGGGGAGCGTCCTGCCGGTCCGGGAGTTCTCCGCGGATGCCATTTGAGGGGAAAACTCTTTGTTTTCCCCTCAAATGGCGTGGCCCCAGCGTGCGACGTCACTTCCGGGTGACGCGCACGCCGGGGCGGAGTTCCCTCCGGGCCCGGATTCCCCGGCGTCGGGTAATGGGCCTCCGGGGCGGAGGGAATTCCGCCCTACCGGGGGGGTTGGCATCCCTATCCACTTTGCTAATTCCTTTTATGTATGTTTTTGTACATATGTGACAATACTGTGAGTATATCATAAGCTGGCACACTTCTCACTTGTGCAGAAATTTTGCAGTGAGATTTATAGCAGAATGCTAACTCTACTTTTTCAGTGTAACTTACAGTTTCGATGTAACTTTTATGTTACGGTGACTAGTCTTGCAAACTAAGGCAGAAAGGCACATGGTGCTACATTTAGGAGCTAAATACCTTCTCCCTTCAGCTGTCCCTCTTCCTTCAGACTTCACTCTTATGTTGGGTTACCAGCCTCCAGGTGCTGGCTGGAGATCTCCTGGGATTACAGTTGATCTCCAGATGACAGAGTTCTGTTTCCCCAGAGAAAATGGCCACTTTAGAGGTTGGATGCTATGGCATTGTACCCTGCTGAAGTCCCTTGCCTCCCCAAACCCTGCCCTCCCAGGTGTCTGCCCCCCCCCAAATCTCCAGGTTTTTCCCAACCCGGAGCTGGCAACCCTACTCTTATGCTGTAAAGATATCTTACAAGAAACTGCAGAGTTTATTGTTTGATATGCTTTGTGATGTCCTCACAATTATGATATGTTTACACTTTACAAAGAAGCACAGGTGGCTCCTCAGCAAGTCTGGGATTTCAGAACTTATCCTGCCTTTGTATCCCACATGGTCTGACACAGGACCTTTAGCTCTGTTCTACATAGTCTGGTGTCAGAAGTGGCCACTGCAGAAAATCCTACATTTTATATTTCATTTTAGGTATCAAGAAATAGGGCTTTATTAGGCTGTACATGCTTGCATGTTGCTCAAAACTTCCCTTTTGAGAGCTCTCTGCTTTTTCCAAATGCAGTTTAAAATTCTCCTGAGCAATCTAATCCTTGCATTGTGATTGGTACCCAAAATATTTGTGCCAGCTCTCTACGAAGTCCATGTTGTTCAATGGGCAAATAAAAAGATGGATTTTCCAAGTTGCTAATTCAGCAAATACAAAATGGGTAAACTAGATATTTTTTAAAAAATTCAGTAGTTAAAATATACATTTGGAAGCAGTATCGTAAAATGTTTGCATTTTATTTTTGTCTTGTAAATAACTACAGCAAGATCAGCTTTATACATGGGCTGCAGTCAACCAACCCACACATTCATCAGATTACATCGAAGGGCGATTTCCAAGGAGAATTCCTTCAGTGTGGCCACCGCCGAAGCCTCCAGATGAAGAGCAGACAGTGAAACATACAGAAAAAGGTAAAGCCTACAGATGCAAATGGAATATATTATTTACATTGGATCTAGTGTATCTTCAATAGTCTTGAAAATTAGACTGTACATAACACTGTGTTTTAATCCTGTGCTTAGAAGGCACAGAGTATTTTAGTCAAAATCTGGAAACAGGCTTGCATTTACAAACTCCAGGTTGTACATTATTTTATTGCTATTTCATGTGGTATTTACCCTTATGACTCTATAGTTCTTTCTTTTCCTCACTTATATCATTACTTTTCTATGCTCCAGTAGATTTCTCAGAAATCCAAATCTGCGTTCTAAGTAAATTGTGTATCTTAGGACACTGTTTTGATGCCAATTTGATATTTGTTTGTTAGGAATGTTTACTTAATATATCCAAGTGCTCATTGGCTTGTAAAGAAACATAAAAAGCCACCATAAAAAACAAAAACCCATGAAAACCAACCCCCTAATTTTATACTGGTGCCATTAAAATCCCACCCCAATGTTCATAGTTACAGCCTGTCAAAAATTCACCATGTCTTCGGTTCCCCAAGATTTTCCCAACAGGATAGATTTTTCACTGATAGCCCGCATGGAGGTGCAGAATTGCCTCTTTTGAGGAAGGTAATTCCAGAATTTTAGAGAAGACATGAAGGAAACTTGCTCTTTTTATTGGTATGAAATATTGGTAATAAATATTGATAGTAAGGTGATTTATTAGTGTGAGGAGGTGTTTCTCCCTTTGTCCATTTGTATACTGAATTCTGAACGTGAAATGGCTTAATTATTTGTTCCAAGAAAACTTTGTTTTAGGACAATAAAAATAAGATATTGTAAAGAGGAGACTATAAAGTGGTAAGCACCAGTTTTTAGGATTAAACTAAAGGACAGTTTATTAAAGGCACGGATAGCCACCAGGCTAATGTAGAGGGATTGGAAGTAACCTTATCATTGTAGTATCCAGGGAGAACAACCTGGGCAACTGCCTGAGGTGTCCAATGACACAATTCAGCTCAGCCTTAAACTGCATCTGATAAATCACTGATTCCTATTCCATCAGAGGAAGGCCTACTTAAGTTACAGGAAGGAACTTTAGGGTGGAGCAGGCCAGTTTGGTGTAGTGGTTAAGTGCGCGGCCTCTAATCTGGGAGAACCGGGTTTGATTCCCCACTCCTCCACTTGCACCTGCTGATGTGACCTTGGGTCAGTCACAAGCTCTGGCACAGCTGTCCTTGAAAAAGAGCAGTTTGTGTCAGAGCTCTCTCAGCCCCACCTACCTCACAGGGTGTCTGTTGTGGGGAGGGGAAGGGAAAGGAGTTTGTAAGCCGCTCTGAGACTCCCAAGTGAAGGGCGGGGTATAAATCCAATCTCTTCTCTTCTTCTTCTTCAAACTTTGCTCAGTAAAGTGCTGTACATGCAAGTGTTTTTCCTTATCTTCACTGTTCTTCTACTGCACTTTTGTGCTGAGGGACAAAACACCTAGTTGCCAAACAACCAAATGCAAACAATGAATAAATCACAACTTAGGAGAAGGAGCATCCTGTGTGTTTAAGTACTATCAAGTAGCTTCCGATTTATGGTGACCTTATGAATTAATGACCTCCAAGGTGTCCTATCATTAACAGCCTTGCTTAGGTCTTGCAAACTGAGGGCCAAGGCTTCCTTTATTAAACCAATCCATCTTATGTTGGGTCTTCCTCTTTTCCTGCTTCCTTCAGCTTTTCTTATCGTTATTGTCTTTTCTAGGGACTCTTGTCTTCTCATAATGTGACCAAAGTACAATAGCCTCAGTTTAGTCATTTTAGCTTCTAGGGAGAGTTCAGGTTTGATTTCATCTAGAACCCACTTCTTTGTGTTTTTGGTGGTCCACGGTATCCGTAAAACTGTCCTCCAACACCACATTTCAAATGAATCAACTTTTTTCCTGTCAGCTTTCTGCATTGTCCTGCTTTTGCACCCATAAATAGTAATAGAAATACTGTGGTGTGAATTATCTTGATGTTGGTTGCTAGCATCCTAGGGAAAGCTAAAAAGCATCTCTGCCAATGGCAGGGGTAACCATGTTTTGAAAAGCAAAAAAGAGGACATATTTCCCGACTATTTCCAACAAGTGATCACTATGAAATCTCCTTTTAAATACCCCTACTATTTAAGCTGTAATTATTGCTACTAACTAGGAATATTTCTAACCTTCCAATCCCAAAAGAGGACATTTTCATCATTTTTTTTAAAAAGCCCAAAAAAGGATGAACACAGAGAAAAAAGATGGCATGTCCTCTAAAAAAAGGAATCTGGTAATCCGGACAGCTAATCAGAACTAACATAAGGCCTAACCCCCATAAAAAGCTATCAACCAGTATGCTCTTTCTGTTAGACGGTTGAGATTCTATGCCTAACTGCCCCCACTGACATTCTGAAGAACAGGCCCTGGACAGGTAGAAGTCCCTTTCCCATAAGGGAATGAAGTTTTGTGAGATTCGGTATGATGTGTAACCTCTGCACCCCCATCCTCATGTACTTAGCCCTGGAAAATGGTTCGTGGGAACAGGGGAAAACGTTTATTTTCGAGCTATAAAAAGTAATTTGCTTCTGATAGATTTATTTGCACATCTTAACTGCTGCCATTTTAGATTAGAAATAATATCACTTATTCTGAGAGAACTGCTTTTGGAAAATCATCGAAAAGATTTCTGTGTATTGAACTGGCCTCTTCATATGACCTTTGAAAAGTCCTTTGTTTATCTTGATTATCTCTTCAAGCTTAATGTTCTTTTGGGAACTGCTTGTTAGTTATTATGGGTAGCACTGGTGCTGCACCCTGGAGACTGCTAGTTACAGAACTGTTCTTCTCTAGAATTGGTTATCAAGGCTTGCTAGAAGGTCTCTGAGGACTGTTAGCATGGTCTGTGTTTTTTCTTAGCTACTCTTATTCATTTTGAATCTTTAAATTTGACATTGGTTTCTCATGTTATAAGACTTTTGTCCCAGAATTCAACCTTGTTCTGAGAAGAAATCTATAAAACCTCAAATATAGTATCTGTAATAACCAACATAATTTCCATACAGTTTCAAATTCTAATATGGGAACACATTCCTTATTTCATCAGCTTTTAAATTCTTAATTTTTTTATCTTAATAACCGGCCCCTATGAATTTTTTTCAGTTTGGTGAGCCAACTGAAAATTATTCTAATCTGCTATATCCTTATTTCTCAAATTGACCTCATATCTTGTAGACTCCCTGATCAAACATGGCAGGCCTGAGGTAAGGCATGTTTGCTGGATGCTGTTACTTGTGTTAATCCAATAAAAAATCAATCACATTTGCACAATTTTAGTTTTCAATTATATTACTTTAAGCTGATGCCCAGTTATAGTTACTTCTATTTCAAATTAGACAGACATGACTTAGACCTGTTGACAGTGGAGACGATAGGTGGATGGCCCTTGCTGAGCTCTTGATTGAATTTTCTGAGAAGTCCATATTGTGAAGGAGATTCTGAGAGTTTTGGCAGGGTACACAAAAGAATATTGATTAATGTGTTCTTTAAGATGATTAAGGAGTTGGAACACCTTCCCTATGAGAAAAGGCTGAAGAGTGGGGCTTTTTAGTTTATAGGATGACTAAGGGGGGACATAGTAGAAGTTTATAAAATTATGCATAGGGTGGAGAGAGCTGACAAAGATAACTTTTCTACCTTTCACAAAATATTAGAACTCTAGGTCATCGAATGAAGTTGATGGGCAGTAGTTCAGGACATACAAAAAGAAATACTTCTTTACAAAGAGAGTGATCAAAATGTGGAATTTGCTGCTAGAGGATATAATGATGGCCACAGGCACAGATAGCTTCAAAAGGGGATAGATTAATGGAGGATAGGTCTATCTGTGGCTACTAGCCATGGTGACTCAAGAGAACCTCCACGTTCAGAGGCAGTAAAACTTTGAAATACCCGTGTGTTATGCCAACTTCTCCAGGAAATTCCTGGAGACCCAATCCAAGTTATCTACCAAGGAAAATTGGGTGTTTGTGGCTGTGCGTAAGTTCTATACCAGTCTATACAGAGGTCGGATGGCGAATGAGACGCTCGGCTATATCCCAGGAAGTGAGACAACACGCTAGTCCTTAAATAAATGTTGTCTTTACTAAAGGTTTCTGCAGTCATACAAAATCGGAATCATACAAATTCATACAAGCTCCTTAGTTACAATAGTACATCAGAACAATTACAGCATAGAAAATAACAAAAGCATCAAAATGGGGAAGACACAATGGGGCACGGCTATACTCATCTGAGGTCCAGCTGAGGAAGAACTCCCCTCCTTGGAACGCTGGGCAGCCGAAAGCAGCAGCTTGTGAACTCCAAGGCACACAGGTAGGACCAGCCAAACCACGTGTGAGCTCTCTGGGTCGCGACTCCCGGAGAACTTAAGTAGTAGAGTCACTTGTAGCACCTTAGTGCACTGCTATGGGAAGGGTGGGTTAACCAGAGAGACAAAGGAGAGTTTCTCCTTAAATAAACTCTTTTTGGGGCATGTGCTATCCAGCCATAAACTATCAAAATACTCTGCCTCGATATAAAAAAGGATGGATTTGCAAGGCCAGAGGATTTTGGGTCACAAAAAGACATGGGCCCTGGATGGGGGCATGGAATAGAGGAATCCTGATCCTATGCTGTCTTGATAAAAAATGTTTGCAAAGGGCTAAAACGATTATGAAAATCATACATATTTTATTAGCATATTATATTATTTTATTAACAAGCTTTGCTTTCAGTGTGCAAGTACAGGTGTTAGCTAAAGACTAAAACAGAATAGATTCTAAAAGTAAAGAGAGATGATGCTGTGTTTAAGGCAACATTTAATCTTTTGTGGCATCATGTTTTCAGAATTTTTTTATATATCCTTTGACAATTGCATTTCACCAGTACACTACACAGCAAAGTATCTTTCAGTTTGGCAATTATATAAAAGGTTATTATAGGGCTGGGAGCCATTTAAACCCTACTTTCTGCTCCCTGCAGTTTTTCATGGGGAGCAGAAAGCAGGGATTTTTAAACCATTTTTCGTGAGCTTTCTGCTCTTCATGAATTGTCATGAACTGCACCAAAATTCATGGAAGTTCTTCAGTTCATGAACATTGATTTGCAAACCATGAACTGCCCAAAATTCATGACAAACTTTAGTTCATCGGCCAGTTTGTGCCCATCCTTAATTGTGATGGGAAGGGGTATTAATGCTTTTAGCCACACTCCTTCTTCAAGGTTTTTCTTTCTGACTTTGTCCTCTAAAGTCACCTGGCAAAATTCATTCCTTGTGAATTGTTTTATTCTGGTACCAGTTTCTGGTTTGTGGAAGCTTTTCCATGAAATAAAGATGAGACAAAGTTGGACAAATCTGAATTTGGAGGGATTTTTTTTTTTTAGGGAAACACTGTTTTACAGTAAATTTTGAAGACATTTAATTTGTACTGAAATTATTGTCCTTTTTGTTCATCCACACTGTTATTGGCAAGTTTGGACATGTGATACGGACATCTGAATTTGTTTTTTTCAGCCAAGTTAGTTTGTATGTTTTATTATGCTCTTTGGAACTGAGTGGTGGCCTCATAGGTTGTTTGTTTTTCCTCTGCTCACTGTTCTATCCTATTATTTTGAAAAACTTTCTGGTTGTGGTGGTTCCAACCTGATTCAAAACATTTAATGCTATTCCAATATATACAGTATTTGTAAACTATAAGCCCTGTCTTTGATTTTCAGATAATAATTAACAATAAGAATGGAATGGATCCTAAGAAGCAGTTTATGGAACAGAGCTTCCATGAACCCATGTTTTCTACAGCCCTCTGCACCATCCCAAATGCTGCTTCTGAGGGCCAAGGAACCTTCAGGAGCAGTGTGGGATACAGTGTGAGGGGCTGCATCTTGAGTGGAAACTGGGGGAAATGTGCCCCCTTTTTTTGCACAAGTGGAATTTCTCTATGGTCACACAAGGGTGTCTTTGAATCCCACCTAATATATTCATGTCTTACTTTATCTTCCTCACAACCCTGTGAGTAGGCAACTGTAGAGGAGGATAACTAACTTCATGACTTCCTCTTTTCCTGCATGGCAAGAATTCTCTGTGTTCCTTTCATCATTGCCGCAAAAGCAGGGGTGTGCATGTTGGCAATGGAGTACGCCCATACAGGAGTTTTCTGTATACTTTCCTCTGTCATTTCCCAACATTTCTCCTCCACATGTGCTCTACAGCAACTCCTCACTGGTTCTCGGAAAGCATAGTTGTCATAGTGGCTGTGTGCATACGCTATAACAATTCTATTAAAACTAGAAATAGGCAAGTGGCAATAGATAGTTATAGTGCTGTGATAATCTATTGCCAATAGATAAACATAGTGTTAGAGAACGCTAAACATTACTGATTAAAAACAAAAAACCTTCAAAGCCCTCTGGTGGCCTGGCAGGAAAAATGCTGGGAGATGCCACTCATGAGGAGCAAACAGTGGGAAAACATTGCTGATGTGGGCATGGCTTTTGCAGTGCACACAATGTGCATTAGTCCTTCCAGATGGTATGCTAATGTGCTTGGACTGTGTTCTTTTTCATAGTGTGGCAGCATTGGAAAACAGCCTTTTGAGGATGGGGAAAAGGGAATAGCTACAGCTCAACTTTGGGTCCTTCCAAAAAATTGTTCCAGTTTGAAGCCAAACCAGAGAAATATCTCTGTATGGAAGTGTGCTAAGTGGGATTTATTTAATTTATTTATACACTGCTTCTCTATAGTGAGGAGGTTCTTAGCAGCCACACGCAAACTCTGTCCAGTGCTGGCATGTCTTACAAACAAACACTCACACTCTTTTTCTAGAGCTGGAGATTGAATTGTATGTTGAGAAGCTAGTGGCCTGCATGGATTTCTGTTTCATAAAGTTGATCTCAGTGTGGGTCTTTGTTAATGGTGGATGTGCTAAATGTTTTGAGCCTATGTTGTGTACTGTTCATGCAAATGCACTTTTTAGTATGGAGCTAATAATCATTGGCTTTTATGGTACATGGAAACAGAAGTAAATAAATTACTGTTCAGTTTGAGTAACTGTGATCATATTTTTACATGCATGCTAAAAGAAGATGGACAAGGTAAGTAATGAGGTGTATAATACAACTTCCAATGCGTTTTCTTCAGTTTTATGCAAACAAGAAGTGTAGATCAGTGTCAGTCAGTGACATGTATTCAGTGAACCATGAACCTCATGGAGTGGGACATTTTTGCTTCATCCCACTGAGAACCCTGAACTTTGTTTCTGGGGAGTTACATAGAGGGTAATGAGGGAGTCTGAAATGGGAAGGGAAAATTTGCAGGGATTGCTTCCCCTGTCTTGATTAGTTGGATACATGCTAATGTTTTATTCCAGTGGTATTAATCCTTGAAAAGTAGGGTTTTTTGACAGAAAATAGTTTAGATCGTAAGAACTTCCCCTGCACTCCTGTCTCCTCATAGCTCCCTGTGACCCTTAAAAAACTTCTTCTGAGGGCTTGGGGTTCATTCTAAATAAACTATACTGTAGCATATGGGGCTACAGTAAGCAGGTGGAATAGAATGAAATTGCCCACCTCCCTCTTATGCAAGTTGAAAGTTTGAAGGTTCCAGCCATTATCATTTTCAAAGGCTCTTGTTACTTTGTAGTACTTATTTTACAAGGTGTGTGAGCAAAATGTATGCTAGGATACATTTGCTTTTTGCACCAGAACTGTCACAAGATCTGCCCTGCTAACTTGTTGGATCTTCATTTCAGTAGTAGCATTAAATTGCTGAACATACTGAAACCAGACATGTAAGCATTAGAAAAGAGAGGGTTCTGATGCTCAAGTATAGATACTGTGTGTGGCCTTCTCTGTGTCCATCATCCTCTACCTCCTCTAGTTATTCACTAAGTAGTTATGATGCATGCAGGAATGGGATTTATATAGGGCCAAAGGAAGGGCTGTTAGTGATTTCTCTGGTCATCCAAATTTCATATGACAATAGGCTTTTTAGAGGACTAGAGGTACAAAAGAGAAGAGGAACAGAACTGAGGGGTTTTCCCACTAATCGTAACTGCCTAAGAAAAAGTCTTCCTGCAGCATCAAAGCAACTACTTTGCTTTGTGGACTAATCATCCAGTGCTGAAGATCAAAAACTCACCACTGTGAATGCTACCTAGTCCTGTTCTCCCCATCCCACAGATCTGAACTAAGAAACATAAAAAGGAACAACTCTTGTTGTGTTACCATTTACAGGGACAGTGATGGCAAGTGTCTTGGAGATACCGCACTCAATATCGCTTCCCCTACCTGTCCAGCACTATCTGTGAAACTCTTGGTGGACAAAGTGTTGCCTTCAGGACAGTTTCATTGAGCAACTGGGATTGTTTCCAAATTTGTTTTCCTTAAGGTGCCATGAGAGTGTATGATCAGAGACCAACTACCTCTGAGAAGAAAACTAATCTCTGCCTGTTGAAAGTGGGGAGAAAATACTGCCTAGATTTTTATGCACTCCCATTTGCCCCCAAAGTTCTGAAGGCTCCAATTAAGAACACTGCTCTAAGCATAAAAGACAAATGCAATTATAGCAGAGCATTTGGGGGGAAAAATTACTGAGAGGGACCAATATGCCAGTTCATCACAGTTCATAGAGTCCCAACCATAGACCCAAATTAAGCATACAAGTGGGGACCTGCAAGAAATTTGTGGGAGCAGCTATCCCATCCCCCTCACCTCTGCTTCTTCCACTCTCCCCCTACTTCTCTAACACTATTTTTACTTCCTGCCACCCTTTTTCTTACTCTCTCCCCTCCATGCCTGTCATTTCTGCAGCATATGTTACCCCATGCCCTCTGAAAGCTGTTAGGGTTTTTTTTTGTGTGTGTGTGTGGTAATAGAACATTTTATCAGCATTCCATTTAATTGCTGGGCAATTAAGGTTGCCCTATATGTTTTGTATATATTCAGAAAGATAACCCTCAGGTCTTATTGTGTTTCAACATATTTGAAGTTGTAATCTTCAGATTGAGAAGATGGTAGTTTAGGAAAGAAAAAACATATGTTGCATATGGTTACATGATTCTTGAAAAGTATGCACTTTAACATAATGCAGTTTGAGGCCCTCTCACATAAGGGCCAAACTAGATGTGATAAGTGTCCTTGTGGATACCGTGAGGACATTGCAGCCATTTTAAATTGATTTCGAAATGCCACAAGGTCCCAATCATGAGTGGGCATGCTGAATGGCACCCTTGTTCCCTCCTGGACCTTTTCAAACGCTGAAACAGCTGTGTGTGTGGGGTGGTGGTGGTGCAGCCATTTCACTACTTAATAAGGTATGTGTGGGGAGGAAATCTTGGCCTTGATGGACATCAGTGTTTTTTCAGTAATATGTAATATTCAGTAATATGTGCTAGAGTAACTTTAGGATCCTACCTACATGAAGTAGGTACCCTGTTTCCCTGAAAATAAGACCTACCCCCAAAATAAGCCCTAGCAGGATTTCTATGCATTTGTGGTATAAGCCCTAGTGTGTCTTCTTGAGAAAAAATAAATATAAGACAGTGTCTTATTTTCGAGGAAACACGGTACATAAATTAGTTTGCTCTGGAGCCATCCTTCCTAAGACAAAAATGTGTGAGCCGGAGGCTAAAAAACTGTGAGCTAGCTCACATTAAATCAGCTTAGAGGGAACACTGATCCCCACTGTCCCCAGGCTCCACCCCTCGAATATCCAGGAATTTTCCAGCCTGGAGTTGGCATCCCTGTCTCCTCCCCTGCAACTTCTACTGAGAAAAACTGTGGTCTTTCTCCACAGTGGGGACTAAAGCAATTGACATCATTCTTGCCTCTTTTTTATCCACACAACAATCCTATGAGGTAGGTTAGGCTGAAAGTATGTGACTGGTCCAAAATCACCCAGTGAGCTTCCACAGCAAGATGGGGGATCTAAACTTGGGTCTCACAAACCCGACCCTGAAGCTCTGACCATTATACTACACTGACTTTCATAGAATGGCTGCTGTTGAACAGTAGCAAGCAGCCAGGCCTAGGTCAATCATGCAAGTCAGGTGGTATCAAGTCACCCAGAGAGTGCTGCTAGGCCTAGGATTGCCAGCTTCCAGGTGGGACCTGGAGATCCCCCAGAATTACAAGTGAACTCCAAACAACAGAGATCTGTCCCCCTTGAGAAAATGGGTGAACTCTGTGGCATTATATCCAGCTGAGGCCTCTCCCCTCCCCAGGCTCTGCACTCCTCAGTCTTCACCACAGAATCTCCAGGATTTTCCCAACCTGGAGCGGGCAATCCTAGTCCCAGGCCTGGCTCCAAACCCCCTTCATACTGCAGAAGAAATCCTTCCCAATCCAAGATCCGGTTCTGCTTTTTGCTTCCTCCCTCTCCCTCTGTTGATGTGGTGGGGCCTGGAGTAGATCCCTGCGGTGGCCATTTCAAAAGGTATGGGGGGATTCAACCATCCCCAAGGGTTTGGGGGGTTTTTTCCCTGCAAACCCAGAGTTCCCTGAGTCTGTAATAAGATCTGTTGGGCAAGAGTCTGGCCCCTATCTGCAGAAATAAGTATCTGCACAGAGAGGGGACTGTTGCAAATTAAATATATATATGTAACTGGATACACAGGAAGAATCCCATCTATTGGCTAGATTTTGTAATACAAAAATACATCAATCACTTGATTGATGTGTCTGTAGAAGAACGATGAAAGTGTTAAAAGTTAAACATCATTTCTCAGAGGTAATAGTCTGCATTGGTAACGTTTGATGCCTATATTGCTGGTGGTGTATTTGGCTCAGGGCTAGGGTTGCCAAGTCTTTTGAACTCACCGGCGGGGGACCGTCTGCTGGCTCTGGGAGTTGCCTCAGGACCCGTGCGTGCA